TCTCCCAATACTTGTTTTGTATATTGGTGCCTCTTTAGTAAGAAAGAGCTTAATGTTTGTGGGTATCATTTTTGGAAACCCTCACGAGACTTCACTCGTCCACTAGGGGTAACCTAGGGGTTTAAAAGGCTTGTTGCATATGCTAAATGCAATCGTGTTCCCTACGAAAGTGGCGCTATCCTTTTATTGCTTTCTAGTTCATAGTTACTTATTTATTTCTTTCTTTTCCTTGTAGTTTATGGCTAGGGACTAGTAATATCTAAGTTTAGGGGTGTGACGATTGCTCAAATGTGACATATTTTAGCACCTAAACTAGGGTATTTTAATCCATTCAACTATCTTTATTTTCCCGTTTTAGTACTTATTTGTGTTTTTGTCTATTTCAGGTCAACAACGTTCAAACAGGCTAAAAATCGTTTCTTACAACCTTTTTGAAGTCGAGTATAAAGTTCCGAAAAGTAAAAAAAAAATAATAATAATAATAATAATAATTTAAAAATAAAATAAATTTTGGATCTATAGTAGATTCTTCGATCGATTGAAAATATGCTGGCAGCGAGCTGTTGTATTCCCGCACGCCCTAACTCTACCTACCACATAGCTACGGGATTAGATATTTTAAGGGCTTATTTTCTGACTTGTTCACTACTCCAAGGACCTTGTATTTAAAGTGGAATTGAACCATTTTGTAATATATCTTTTGTCTTCAATTTTATTTTAATTTTACATTGTAATAGCTATTTTCTCTCTCTAGAAAAGTTAGAGATTAGGGTTACAAGAAAAGAGAAGAGTGGAAGTACTAAGAACACATCTCAAGATCTACACACTCTCTCTCTCTAGAATTCAACAAAGAAGAAAAGGAAGAAGATGGAGTCATGTTTGGAGATTACCCTTGAGGGTTCCAAGATCACATCCACCCCCTCCATGATTGGCGAGACTTCTCCTTGGGGCTTGGATGAGTCCCAAGTTTGTAATCTAAACTTCTATCTCTTTCATACTTTTTGGAGAATAATATATTGTGATTAGTGTTTTAGCCTTGTGAGTTTAATGAATCTTGGGTTCTTTTTTGATTTATATGGATTAATTCTTTCTATTGATTCTCCATGTGATTACATGTTATCTCATGTGTGATTATTAGGGAATTGATCTCTACACTAGTTTTTCTATATTAATTGCATGTCTATGTGTGGTTGATTGAGAATCTAATGATGGCTAGGTATGGTTTTTATTAGATGGGTTTATCAATTAATTTGATGGATTATGCTTATGTCTGATGAATTGCTCTACAATTTAATTCATGCATGTAGGTAGATAGACAATCTTTACTTGATTTGATATGCCATGGCTTATTATTGCAAATTCCATGATTCTTTAGATTGATGTGTGCTACAATTGTGACTAGTTTGATGGGTCATGCTTAGGATTGATGGGTTATTCTACACTTAGTTTAATTGTCGGTTAGGTAGGCAATTCATTATTAAATTTGATGGTTCATACTTAATATTGCAATTGGTAGTCGCATTTTGTTCACAAGAAGGTTTTTCCCAAATTAGTTGAAAGTGTGTGGTTTGGTGAACGATCTTGGTGGCGATTCCAATGACCCCAAGACCTCACTTCTCATCTCTTAACTCCCTAACTCAACTTAATTTATTTTAATTGCATTTTAATTTCCTTGCATCTTAATTTAATCAACCAATCTCTCTCTTTGCAATCAATTGGTACATTAGAGTCGAAATTAAATTCCAACACGTATAATCCTTGCGAACGATCCCTACTCGCTATGCTTCATTAGTTGTAGTAGTGATTTGTATAAATGTAAATTTGACTAGAAAAGCTTCCTAAACCACATTCATATTTTGACCTTGCAAAGCGACCTCTCGCATTACAAAGTCCGTTTTCTAAACACATAGAAAGGGGCTCGTCAAACACCAACCTTAAACAAAAACTATGGTTCAAGATAGAGAGCTATGGTGACAGAAACTGACACCCATTGGCTTCATGTCAAGTTTAGTACATCTTGGCATATTTTAAAAAGTAACGTATTGAAAGTAAGGTATTAACATGCATGGTGTTTAGAATCAATGACTTAGAAAATTAAAGCACAGCTACAGAAATCCAACACCATAGTTAGCTATAAATCATTCTTTAATTAGGAAAAACAAGCTTCATGACAACCAGAATGTAGTATAATTTGGGAAGCCAAGTGCCAACCCAAAAGCAGCAGCAATAAAAAGGAACGAAAAAAAGGGTTTGCAAAACAACAGGAGACATGAAATATTGGCAACTAAGGGAAGACGGAAAAAAAAGTCTCACTAGTTATTTTTGTTTGCATCGCTGTCAATCAAGATTCACTGCAATGCTGGTAATGAGATGAATAGAATTAATATACAAATTAAAAGTAGAATAACTACTGGACAGGATTCAGCCTTATCCACACACACCACAAGTATATTTTAGTCACGGGAAAATAATTACAATAGCTTAAAAACGCGTTTAAAATTGACCAAAAGTAATACATTGATTTAATAGCCCCAGTGAAAACTTTCCTAGAAATGCCTAAGATCTGATAACAGAACAACTAAACAAGGTCAAATTCAACTTATGATTCGATGTATTACAAACTTTTCTCTCCCCTCCATTAAAAGAGAGAGACGTCCCATCCCTTCTTTATGTTCATCCATGCATGTAGACAGACACCTGTGTACAGTAAAATTTATAAAATTTTCATTCAATTCTGGGGAATTGGACACAGCAGACTCCTTCCACTATATCTAATCTCATATCTTCAACAAAATTGGTGACAGTATTTATCGTCTGGTGCAATGAAAATAAAACATGAGACTGACAAGCATGAGGGCATGGGTTCGAGCCTAGCCACTGTTAATACTGATTCCAAAGGTTAGGTCTGTATCAAGTTTTTCCCTTTTAGCACCCTCAGACAGCATCATCGTCATCCTTACCTTTATCCTAAACAAATGGGCTCAACCACATGAATTATCCTTTTCTATTCAATTCTATTACATGCCCAGTCTTCTCTAACATTTAACTGGGTAAAGTGCAAAAAAAACCCCTCAAGATTTGATATAGTTCATATAACATCCTTATAGTACGAAATGTGTATATAACATCCTTATACATTGAAAAAATGTTATGTATTGCACCCTTCCATTAGTGTGCCGTTAGAAGGCACATGTGCGCCTAAGAATCCTCCCTTAATTCCAAATTACCTTTCAATCCTTGTTTACTCTCGCTTCACTTTTTCTCTCTAAAACTGATTTCACCCTTTCTGCTCTATCTCTCTGCGCTAAAATGCTCTTTCACTCTCTTTATCTCTCTCGTTGTATCTCTCTTCCGTTAAATCAATTCACACATGAAGCTAAAATTCAGAAAGATCTTATCTTCCCAAACAAACCATAATTGTACAATTGAATACACTGCAGTAAACCAAAGAGGTTAAACCAAAGAAAGATCTATGTAACTTACCCAAATCTAAGTAAACCAAATAGTGACTGTATTATCTCCCAATCACCAACATACCAACCAAATCCAGAATTCCTGCGAGGCCATCACAGTGTACCACCGTAGTTCTCTTTTTTTTCATCTTTTTTTTTCTTTTTTTTTTTTTTCCTTCCTTTAGTCACTGTAGTTCACAAGCCACAGAGATGTCTGATATGTGTGTGTGTATACATATAAGATATACACAAGATGGAGAGAGAGGTCCGAAACCACAAAACACGATTTCAGCCATCAGCAACCGCTGGTGTGCCGTCTTCCCGAGCGGCCGCGAATTGAAAGTCGTTGGCTTTGGTGGCTAAGGCAATCACCAAGGTTGGCATCCACTCAATAGAGGTGACTCTGTAGAACTTGAGCATTAATATAGATCGATTAGAACAATATGAGATGAGTGAGAGCGAGAGAGGAGTGAGAGAAGATGCCCCAGTCCGGGCGTCTGAGATGGGGGGTGTTTAAAAGGTAAAACTTTGTCCCTTTTTTTTTTTTTATTCGTTTGGGTTTAGGGGTGTGGCGACCTTGTGGACGATTGCGAGGCACTGGCAGGTTACAGATACACAATCCCATATCGCCTAGGTAAGGTGAAGGTAAAGTGCTTATGTGTGCTAGTGTTATCTCCAAATGATATGAGGCCTTTTGGGGTAAAACCTAAGAAGAAAACCATGTGAGCCGAGAATATCATACCATGTGGTGGAGTGGGTTGTTACAAATGATATCAGAGTCAGAGCGAAGTGTGGCCTACAAGGACGTTTGGGGGGTGTTGATTATGGCGACCTTGTGGGCGGGCAAGTGCAAGGCACTGGTAAGCTACAGGTGCACAATTCAACATTGCCTGGGTAAGGTAAAGGTGAAGTGCTTATATGTGCTAATGTTATTCCCAAAGGGTATGAGGCCTTTTGAGGAAAAACCCAAGAACAAAATTGTGCGGGCTCGGGTTCAGGTCCAAAGCGGACAGTATCATACCATGTGGTGATCTGGTGGAGTGGGTTGTAACAAGGGGCATTTCAGTCATTTTAAGCCTCCATTAACAGAAATGAGACAAGAGGCCCTTATGTGCACTGTTTTCATACTGAGGGGTGATTTTTTACCTAGAGGGGTGTGATATACACTATATTAAATATCAAGGGGTATTTTTATGCAGTTACACTATTTAATTTTTTAAAGTAATTTCTAATTACTTCATCCCAAGTTAGTTTTGGCCGGCCTCATTATCTCTTACCTTCTTAACTAATTTTACTTTTCTCACTGGTGCATCAACGGATCTATATTGTATGTGTTCAAACAACCTAAGCCTGCTTTCTCTAATTGTCATTAATAGGTGCAATCTCTAATTTTGTCATTAATAGGTCCAAACCACCATTCAGACAACATATACATGGCAATGCATTTTATTGATAAAACCAATGCTAATGATAGGAAATACAAGAAAGCCAAACTTGAATCACAAAATTTCAAGGAATCAAAGTGATGTGGGATGATGGAAGACTCACCACATAATACAAGGCAAAGTTGTCTTTGTCCTCCATGTAACTTGACTTCAATTTAAAACGAATCATAAAAATTACCCACAGAGTTGTTGCCAATGTAGCTAAATCAAGCAAGGTGTGTATATCATATTCCATGACAAAACTGCAGTACAACCTAACAGCTAAGAAAATAGCCGTTAGTTCTTGGGATTTGAGTGAGAGTCCTGCAGATTATCCACAGTGAGAAAAATCAATCTGATTGGTAAGATCAATAAACCTTATAATAAATAAATAAATAAATAAAGGATAGACCAAAAACACACAATCATTAACTTGTATCAACAGAAAAAGAAATATAGTCCATAAGGTAAACCTTCTAAACCAAATTCCATAAAGAAAATTCAGAAGAAATCATCTCAAGCTACAAAGTTCTAGCTTGGTGTCAAAAGTACAAAACCCACAAATTAAATGCCAACCCTATTCTCTCTATACTTCAGTGTTGTTTGAAAACTCAATTCGGTGCTTAATTTTGAACGGATTAAGCGCTTATTCAATTAAATGCATTTCATAATGTAATTTGAATATCACTGGAAATGGCAAGCGCCACTTAAAATGGGGTAAAATTTTAAGTGATAGGAACATCACTTATCACTGAATGCTGAACGCTGAAAATTCAAAAAGATTTACAAAAATATTTATTTTTTAATTACCACTTAAAAACTTCAGTACTTAAAATTCAGCTCTTAAAATTTTCAGTACTTAATTTTTAGTTTTATCAATCGGCAGCTTCTACTTTGCCTATATCTATACCATGCTAGGGCAAAATACATAGACAAGTCATATACATACACGGAGAGCTATATTATGAATTCTAGAGTTGCATCAAATATTATGTGTCAATCTTTTTACTGATTCGACTGATTATGCATGCATGGATGATGGACTTAAGTGTTTTTCTATTTTTTTATAATTTAAAATTCCGTTAAGATATTTGAAATTAAAAAAATCACAGGCCTTGCATGACTCTCAGGTTCCAGTCAAAAATTTCAGCCCCTTTTCACCGGCAGTAGACAAATACGTGAAACAAATATATGTCCCATATTTCAGATCAAGTAAATCAGGAAAATCATCAACTTTTATAGGGCATTACCTTATTACATGTGTTAGCGTACATGTAGGACTACAATTCACTAGTCATTCAACCCTCAAACAAATTTAAAAGGTTACACTAAACAATTAGTTGATTGCATACCTAACATAAAAATTGGTCAAACCATACTTATCAAAGGGAAAAAAAAAAAAAAAATGGTCAAACCATGAACCTTTCTAAGAAGAGAACTTCGTAAATGGGCTTTAGTAGACAGGGTCATGGACAAATATGTAACTGTTTATTTCCTTAATAAATATATAAAGGTGCCACCAGATTCCTACTTATATAGAAACATGAATAGCAGAACTTTTAGAACATGTTTGCTAAAATAAATATGATGCCCAACTGAGCTAAAGCAGACGAATTATTAGGCTGGTTGATAGACACGTAAGTTGCAATGACAAAAAATCCTGAAAATCAGAGCAGAAATGGAGTATTTAACTTTAGAGACATAAAAATTTAATTACTTTTCACAAGTTGGAATTGTTTATTACTCTGTCAGAGTTTCATTTTACAATGTGGGTGATAAATATTTTCTCATTTTTCCCCCTTTATCTTGTAGAGAGGTGTTATGTATTTTAATTTTATGCATTGCAAGATTACATTTACACTTTTGAGTCCCATTTGAGAGATTCAAAGATCAACTTTTAACTTTGATACACTAGAGCTTTGTCAACGTTATTACACCCGTTACGGACATGTAATTGGGTGTTTGAGAGGACAACAATATGTTTAGAGATCTTGTTTTTTCTTTTAACAAAAATTCTTTGAACAAATTTTGTAAAATTTTATTTGGAAAGTGGTCAACTGCACTAGGGGGTGTGCATGGGTGTGCATGGACCGGTCCATGTGCTTTCTGTTTTTGTTATTCCAGAAACAGAAAAGATTTGAACTAGTTGTTGATTTTTACATGCACCGGTCAATCGAGCCACACGCATTGATTCATCATAATCCTATTCCACATGAAATTACATCCGCAACTACTGCCCTTCTTCTTTAAAGGTTTTCTAAACATAAGTAGTCTTTTTCTAACAACATTCAAAGTGTCCAAACTATATACACCGGATCATTTAAGTGCCTGATAATTAAAAAAGAAAAAGAAAACAGCTAGTTCACAATCGAACTGGCCAGTTCTGTGACATAATCAGACGGTTCAGGCTTCAACAGGTCATTTTGGTTCAGAACTGGCCAAAACTCTAGAGTCTTGGTACGGTTGAAAATCGGCCAGTTCACCAAGCTATGGTTTGGACTGATCCAAGAGAAACAATATGATAACATCTGTGAGACCGATTCCACAAGTAAACCTATGACAGCAAAATGGAATTGCAATGATCACACATAACTATGTCCAATCGCATCATTCCAGAAAATTTGTGATTGTTCCTTTCTAAGTAGCACGGACACGGATATGGGACATGGATACGATACGACATGGATACGCTAACGCATCAAATTCTTAAATAGTAGGACAAGGACATGGCATGGACACGGCTAATATAATATATATTTCATTTATATATCTATTGAGTAAGAGAATTATAAAACTTTAATTAATTTATAATTTCTATACTAAAGTTATACAAGTTAGAAGATGAAGCTATTCGAATATAAAAAATAATATATTTATATAAAATAGTACTCTCATATCTTGTTATTATAGTTATGTTTTTGTTTGTTATATTATGTGACGTGTTTAGTGTCAATATTTTTAAAAAGAAGTTAGACCTTTGATGTATGTCCATAATGTTGTTTCTAGGATTGTCATGTTTTTATTTTACATTAGACGAAGAGTGTAGAAGGTGTTGGTCAAGTGTCCGTAATGTGTTAACCAAGTGTCCGAAATATGTCAAGCAAGTGTCTAATATGTGTCGAGCAAGTGTCCGAAATAATAAAAATTATTTTTAAATTATGGACATGATTACGGAGCGTCCAAGACGTGTCCATGAAGTGTTGGTGTCCGACACAGTGCCAGAGATACACACGGCACCTTGTAGAAGTGTCGGCGCTGCTTAGGATCCTTTTTATGGTGGGACTGGTCACTGATCTGACTTGTACTCGATCAAATGGATCCTTGCCAAAACTAATATAGAACTCTTTGAAAACTATAATAATAAGTAAACTAATAAGAACCAACTGGTGGTAACTTTGTTTGGGAAAGGGTATAACTTTGTATCTTATAAATTGATTCCGAATGATAATAATTGAATGCGCGAGTTATCCATGTAGATATAGGTAGACTCATTCCTTCTTATCTGCATTGTGTTGGCACAAACAGAACCTAAAAAGATTAGGAGGCAGCAGAATTGGATTTGTTTCAAAACTATGAATAACGTAGAAGACCTTGTATGCATGAAGTCAGAGGGATAAATGAAAGCCAAATCCCAGCACATAAATATGGCATAATAACTTAATTAAAATTTTGTACATTTCACTAGCTGCATTTTCAACTTATCAAAAATAATTTTTGAGTAAGAAGTAATTGTCTTTTCACATACAAGCTTCAGATATTACAAATTGCTTCATACCATGTGATATGTTAATAAAATAGTGTAAAAAGAACAGAAAAAGCTTAGAAATATCATAAGAGAATCATGATATCTGTATTTAGCAGGAGACCAAAACAGGTAGTTGAACTCATTTTCAGGTCTCATGTTCAAAACTTCTAGGAAATTGTCAATCTTCTTCAACCATTACAAGATGCAAAAGATAGCAATCAGTTGCATTGAGACTTGAGACAATGGAGATAATGCTTAGGCAAGGATTCCACAATCTATGTCTATGTTACAAGGACTCCTCCAATGTATTAGATACATAAAACTGGGATATAAGAATGAAATGTGTTCAACTTGCCTGGCTAGACATGCACTTAGCAAGAATACCTGATCATTCTAGTTTGTCATATAATTGTACATAAAGCATGCTTATTATGCTACTTTTATTACCTAATTGTTTTAAAACAAATGATGTATCCACATTGAACAGTTATATTCCATAAAACACCACTCTGAACTAAAACTATTCTAAAAGAATAAAAGAAGAATATTAAAATTATGAATATTTAGCATTGTCCTTATCAATTTTGCTTGGACAGTTAATGAATCAAATTTTACTTATCAAAATTTAAAAATTAAAATTAATGAATCAAATTTAGACAGACACTAATATCCTACCAAATCCATATAACATAGACCACAACATGTTTAATACAAGATTCAGTATAAAAGTACTCTATATTATCCAATGTCTATCCCACCTATGTGGGAGTGCTGGAGAGGGAAGACTGGGACAAACCTAACCTTTGGCATTAGATTACACTAAATGTCTGCTCTCAGACATTGATCCGTGATATCTTTGTTGTGGGTCGAAAACTTTCATCATTGCATCAAACAATGACCTCCTTTGCAGTACTCAATAGTCAATATATCAAATAAAAGAATATATATACTATATATATTCCTTGACCCATTGATTGGATCCAGCTTATGTAAAACTAGCTAAATGAAGCAACTAAGCACCAAATAGCAAGTGCTTTAGCCCCCAAAAGGGGGAGAAAAGAAATAATTAAAGGACCTTATAAGAATTTCGTTAAATTCAAGTTCTCGTCCTACTTTTTTTAGAAAGTTATCAGAAAAAAAAAAAAATGAATTTCATTTAATTCAAACAAACCCAATTCAACAAACAAGAAGGAGCCATCAAAACACATGAAAAAAATCAATCCATCGACACTCCGATTGATAGCTGAAAAATCACATGCAAGACAAAATCTTTAGCAATCTAATCACAGGTTTAGATTACTCCGACTGACTGTAAAGTTCTAATTTCTATTCCTAAAAATCAACAATAACCAAAAGGACCAAAGAAAATAACCCATATAAAGATAAGTGCTTTTAACTCATAAAAAAATTAAATCAATAACGAATCACATTTATATATATATATATAATTGATGGTGTGTGAATTATTACCAGCACAAGTTTTTTCCTTCATGAGCTTATAGATGAGGACAGAGATTCCAATAGAGTGAACAGCTTCGGCGGCGACGAAGAGGTTGTCGTGATCGTGTACGATAGCACGTAGCAGCACCAGCGCCGCCATCCCGGAGACGACGGCCAGGAAAGCCTTCACCTTCGGCGGTTGTCTCCGAACCCATGTCGTCACTGCGTGGATCGGCGTCCGCTGTGGCCTCATGGTCTCTCTCTAGGTCTGCGGGTGCGTTTGTTTCTGGCGACAAAGTGAAAGAAAGTGAAATACTCCTCCGATCGGAATCAAATCCCCTCAAATCTCTGTTCCCATTGTTTGAAGCTTTGGAGATTTACATTCATAAGCCATTTTTAGAAGAAAAAATAATATTATAATAATACTTCCTATAGTTTGGTTTGAGAAAAATGGAGACATTTTTTTTAAATAACTTCATATCATTACAGAGAGTTAGACCTTCCTGAATTACAATGTTGACTAATCCACTATAGGTATAGTTTCTGTAAGGGATAGGGAAATATCTGAATTTTACTTCCCTTATTTTTTAATAAAAAAATATTTGAAACTTTACTCTTATTAATAAAATAAAAATTTATCAATATAATAACAACTATTAAGACTCCATCATCATAAAAAGTTAAATTTTATGTGTAGGACATGTATTCCGTATTATTTATTAGATTCACATAAATTGATAATTCATTTACTAGCAATATAGTAAAAAAATGTTAAAAGTCAATGCACCTTAAAAACGTTAGATCCCGGAAAGGAATATGTTTTTTGTGCGAGGGAGGGGAGTATAAGGAAATTGAGAGATCCACAAACCCTTCTAATTGTAATTTTGCTATTTTTTATTTTATAATGTTTTGTTTTGTTATTATTTTAACAGTGGAATAAAATGGAAGGCATGGGTATCATGATTAATAAAAATTATATAATTTCAATTTTACGCAAAATTTATGAAAGTTGTAAACAAAATTCTACACGATATAGAAATGAATTTAATAAAATAATTTCTTTTCTTTTCTTTTTTATTGCAAAGATTAAGGTTAACACTCTCATTTCTTTTTTAATTTTTTTCCCTTTGTCATTAATCAACCCTACCCTATAATGAAAAGTTAAAACCATCAGTACTTTTTTTTTTCTTTCCTTTTCTTTTTTTTTTCTCACCTAACAAAATATTAAATTACATTTTGTGAGTTTTGTTTTGCAAAATTTGCCAAACATATAATTAGAATCCTACAAATCCTAACATGGACTCAAAAACTTAACATATGCTTTCTAACATTATATTAATAAGATTCCATATGTAACATGTTGTGATCATTTCAATGTTGACGTATATATATAGGGGTGCAACTTGGGCTAACCTAGCCTAACCCAGATATTTTAAAATTTAAGTTTTTAAATTCACAAATCGAGCTCAAATTGGGTTGAATTTTCTTAAAACCTAGACATGTTTGGATTGGGTTTGGGCTCAACTCGAACCCAATCCAACCCAAAACCCAAAAAAAATAATAATTATAACTTAAGAAATTCTTTATTTTTTTTTTTTTTATGTCTCCCTTCTCTCTCTAGACTTGTCAATGGAGTGGCTCTTGATCCGAATCTGATCCGATTAGTCGGATATGGATTGAACAAAAAATTCTCCGATTACGATCCGAATTCGATAATCCGTTAGCTTAACAAATCGGATATGGATTATGCTGATCCGATCCGTTAATAATTCGATCCGATTCAATTAAAATTATATATATATAATTATTTATTAATAATTTTACATATATATATCAATACTCCTATTAAAATTGTATTAGAGGTAACCCAAAAATCCAAAAAAAAATAATAATAATAATCATAATGTTATATATACAATTGTGGGTGTTCTCATCCACGTGCTAATAAATTTATATATATTAATTATTTATCATTATATTCATTTGGTTGCATAGTTATATCATGTACTCCCTCCATCCCATATTAATAGTATATTATTTTATTTTTACATATCCCAAATTAGTTGTCCTTTTTGAAAAGTCAAACATCTTTCCTTTATATTTTCATCATTGTCCTTTATCTTTTTAAAAAATTTCAAACTTTGTAACTATATATATTTAAATTAGAAAGGAAAATTTGGTAATTTTAAAAGTGGACAGTGCATTAATTGCATGTCTCCTTAAAAACTCCAATCTCTCTATTGTGGGACGGAGGTAGTAGCATTCTGTATATTAGCAATTCTCCACTTCATCTAACTTTATAATTATATATGTTAGTATATATGATTTTAATCCGAATTCAAATCCAATTCGATCCAAATCCAAGCTAAATAGGATATTAATTGGGACATTCAGTCCGAGAACCCGTTAGTGATCCGAATCCGATAATCCATTTGCTTAACAAATCGGATATGGATTTGATCAATCCGATCCGAATCCGATCCGTTGACAGGCCTATCTCTCTCCTATCTCTTCTTTCTCTTTCTCTCTCTCCTTTTCTTTTTCCCTTCATTAGGTACAATACAAGAGCAAAACAAAAGAAGCAACACCAAGGCATTAGCAAAGGACTAAGCAACCAAGAGTCAAAGACAAGTCATCACAACTCATCAAAATGGGGTTAGCTAGATTGGTGAGTTTCTTAGGAAATCTTGTTAAAGTATATATGAACATCTTGAAGCTCAAACTCTCCAACATTATGCACATCAATTCATTCACAATGACTAAGGATCAAAGGACTTAAGTAAATCTTCATCTAAACAAGTTCCTGAAAATGAAAGTCTATTTCGGTCTACCGAAATGGAAGGGCTTATTGTATCAGTCGACCAAATTAAACAAGAGTTTGAATCAAAACCTCCAGCTATTTCGGTCTACCGAAATAGAACTTCATTTCATTTCGGTTTACCGAAATAAAAGTACTGAGAATGATGCTCAAATTTTAAAACCATTTCGGACGACCGAAACAACTGAGAGTTTCAGTTCGGTCTACCGAAACAAAGATGCTGAGAATGATGAAACCATTTCGGTCGACTGAACAGAAAAAGGTTTTACTTTGGTCTACCGAACCAAGAGTACTGAGAGGATAATGTCCAAGCTTAAAACCATTTCGAACGACCAAAACACAAGGGTGTTTCATTTCGGTCGATCGAAGCTGCGTTTTTCAAAATTCAAACGGGCATTTTTTTCTTGAAGTGCGTGTCCAATAGCTATAACTCTTATCAGACAGTTCTGAAAGTCTATATAATGACTGGTAGTCTTCATAAAAGCTTGTTGCATTTATTGAGAAAGATCTTCTAGCAATCAAAAAGCTTTTCATCATCATTTACACACATCTTATATCATAAAAGAAAGTTGAGCTTCAAGTTAATCATACATACCCTAGAGTGAGCTGAATCTTGTACTTTAGATCTAAAAGAGATCACTTTGTACTTCATCAATCTTGTTCAAATCTTGTAAGGGCTGGTGTGGCCCAAGAAATTCTAAGAGAATGTGTTTTCTTAGCACTTAGAAGCAAGGAAGAGCTTCTTGAAAGGTTTGCTCTCCACTCGCAAGGAGAAGCCATAGTGAATTGGGAAGTCTCAAGAGGGGTCTTGAGCCGAGGAGTAGGAGTTTCTGAACCTCGCTAAAATCGTTGAGTACATGTTTGCAACTTCTATCTTTATCTCTTATTTTTATTGCTTCATGTATGTCTTGATATGCCTCTTCATAAATATTGACAATTAAAGCTTAAAATTCAGATTGCATCATTCAATATTTGTCAAAGAAGTTGAGTTTAACTCTAGTTGGTAAATCAATATTGAAAAATTGACCTTAGTTTGCTTAGACTCTATTCACCCCCCCCCCCCCCTTCTAGAGTCTATACTTGGGCAACAATTGGTATCAGAGCTATGTCTCTATTGAAAAAGCTTAAGTGTTTTAGAGATCGATCATGGCAAACTTAAATGGTCATCTTCTTCAAGAAGGTCAGTCCAATACTAAACCTCCTTGGTTCGATGGACAAATTATGGTTATTGGAAAAATAGAATGATAGATTTCCTCCAATCCGTAGACTACCAAATCTGGTTGGTTATTGTCAATGGACCTTTTGTTCTAATGAAAGGATTTGGTGCTGAAAGTGTCCCTAAGACTGAAGCTGAATGGAACACCGAAGATTATAAACTTATCTCCTTGAATGCCAAAGCCAAAGTCAATCTTAATTGTGCTATAAGTCCTAGTGAATATAATAGAGTCTCTACTTGTATCACAGCTAAAGAAATCTGGGATAAACTCCAGATTACTTATGAAGGAACATCACAAGTTAAGGAATCCAAAATCGATATCCTTATGCAACAATATGAACTGTTTCGCATGAATGAAAATGAGTCTATTAGTACAATGTTTATGAGATTTACTAACATTATTAATGGCTTAAAGCACCTTGGTAGAACTATGACTAATTCTGATCTTGCAAGGAAAATTCTTAGAAGCTTACCTGAAAAATGGGATGCTAAGGCAACTACGATTAAGGAAGTTCATAACCTCAATACACTTGAGTTAGACGAACTTCTCGGTTCTCTTCTCACATGGGAGATCACTCTAAAAGATAGAGAAGGAGATCATCATCGAAAGAAAGAAATTGCTTTAAAAGTCTCTCAAATGGAAAAGGAAGTTTCCGGCAACGAAAGTGAAAATGATGATCTAGCTCTTATCACTCAATCTTTCAAAAGATTTCTTCATAGGAAGAAATTCAACAAGGGAAGGTTCAAAAATGGAGAATCATCTAATAAGCGAGGCAAACGTGACTCCCCTACCTGTTTTCATTGTGGAAAACCGGGACACTTTAAAGTTGATTACCATGCGTACAAAGAGGAAAAGAAAAAGAAAAGAGCAATGCAAGCCACTTGGGAAGACGACGACTCAAATGGATTCGAAAGTGATGAGGAAAAAGCCATTCTTTGTCTCATGGCAAGTAGGGATGAGGTAAACTCTAATTCTGACTCTTCTTCCGAAAATGAAATTGCTTATGATGATTTAGTTGATGCATATAATGGATTACTTGATGGCTTTAAAGAATTGCATGATGAACTAGGTAAAATGGTCAAAAAATGTGCTTCTCAAAGAAGAGAAAAACTTATCCTTGAAAACAAATTTCAAACTTTTCTAAATGAAAATGAGTGCTTGAAAAAGGAATGTATTTCACTTAGAGAAACAGGATCACTTGAACTCATATCTGAAAATGAATCCTTGAAGTGAATCATTGAAGACCAAATTGATAGTCTAGCAAAGTTCACTCAAGGTACCAAAAATCTAGAACTTATGCTAGGTGCTCAAAGAGGTGTCTTTAATAAAAATGGATTAGGATATGACCCTTTTGATAAGAAAGCATGTCTATTGAATAAAAGAGAGTCTTTGACTAACTACTT